GCCGCCGTCCTGCCGGGGCCGGAGTTGGGGGGATGTCCTTGGCCTTCCCTGTGGGCCGGAGGCAAATCCCCTCCCTGTCCTTCTTGCTTCCTGCCCCAGGCCCCGAGCTGAGGACGGAGAGCCCGGAGGACAAATCCCCCCGGCAGAGCCTGGTGGGAGAGGCCGTTTTGAAGGGCTCCATGGCGCAGGAAGGCAGCGGGGAGGAAAAGGTCCGGAGATCCCTGCGGAGGAGGGGCTCCAAAGCCAGCCCAGGGTGCTCTGAGGAGGAAAGACCCAGCCTGTGCCAGGAAGGCGGCCGGAGCTTGAGGCAGAGCTCTGACCTGGTGGTCCCTGAGCAGCCTCCCAGCAGGCAGAAGCCCTTTAAGTGCTTGGAATGTGGAAAGAGCTTTGGGAAGAGCTTCAACCTCCTCACCCACCAGCAGATCCACACTGGGGAACGAGCCTACCCATGTGGGGAATGTGGGAAGGGCTTCAGCCAGAGGTCCCACCTGATGCGACACCGGATGATCCACACTGGGGAACGGCCCTATTTATGTGGGGAATGTGGGAAGAGCTTCAGGGACAGCTCTGACCTGATCAAACACCAGCACATCCACACCAAGGAACGACCCTACACATGTAGGAAATGTGGGAAGAGCTTCAGGCACAGCTCCACCCTCTGCACTCACCAGCGTATCCACACTGGGGAACAGCCATACACGTGTGGGGATTGTGGAAAGAGCTTCATTGACAGCTCCACTCTCTGCACCCACCAGCGCATCCACACTGGGGAACGGCCCTACACGTGTGGAGAATGTGGGAAGAGCTTCAGTGACAGCTCCACCCTCCGCACCCACCAGCGCATCCACACTGGTGAACGTCCCTACAAGTGTGGGGATTGTGGGAAGAGCTTCAGCTGGAGCTCCAACCTCATCACCCACCAGCGCATCCACACCGGGGAACAGCCCTACAAGTGTGAGGAATGTGGGAAGGGCTTCAGCCAGCGCTCCAGCCTCCACACCCACCAGCGCGTCCATACCGGGGAACGGCCCTTCAAGTGCTTGGAATGTGGGAAGAGGTTTCAGACCAGATCCAGTCTCCTCCTGCACCAGCGGACGCACACGGATGAGAGGCCCTTCCGCTGCACCGACTGCGGGAAGGGCTTCAAGCACAACTCCCACCTCGTCACCCACCGGCGCATCCACACCGGGGAGAGGCCCTTCAAGTGTGGGGAGTGTGGGAAGAGCTTCACCGACAGCTCTAAGTTGACCAGACACCAACGGACCCACCAGTAAGGGAAGCCCTACCAGTGCCTCAACTGGAGGAAGACCTTTGGCTGCTCCTTGCACCCCGAATGAACCCCCTGATGGTGAGGCAACCCCTGGAGTCCAGTGACTGTCAGTCCATCCCTTTTGACCAGAAAAGGCCAGTCCCCTTTCTCAGGGGCAGGTTCTGCCAACAGAACCCTTCTTGAGGGGATGTGTGGAGATTCCTGCCTTGGCTGGGGACCCTCAAGGGCACTGCTGGAGGTTGAGAGCAGAGATCTCCCCACGAGTGTTGGTCTGGGGGAGTTCCATCCATCTCTAATTAAGAATTATTCCTTTTGTGCCAGCTTGAGTAGAATTGCTTCAAGACTTGCTTTAGTGTAGAGCACTGTCCTATCTTATCCTGTACTCCTGGTAGTTTTAGTGTTTGTATTGTGCAGTAAATAATTCTGATGAAGATCTTTTGTTTGATCGTTTGTAACCCTAAATCGATTCTATCAATAGATCTGATTTGCCATCATTAAAACCTTGGGGCCAAAGTGGTTCAGTCACACCTCTAATTCCTCCAAACTGAAAGTGTTGGCATAATGCAAGGCTGAGATTGGATCCAGCATCCCCCACCACCCCACAGTAAGTTTGGAGCTCAGTGTGTAAGTTTTGTTGCTGACTCTCCACAAAATTGCTGAGACCCAGCAAAAAAGCCTAGTCCCCCGAGAGGGAAGGAAAAAAAACCCGAACAGCCAAAGCTAGAGCAAAAATATATATTTACAATTCTATATACAATTTGAATGTATTGTACACACGAATGGGAGCTCCCGAGGGGGGAAAAACGGGAAGGGGAAACAGGGATAAATTAAAACCTAAAATAAATATCCTCCAAATATACACCGTTTCTATAGAGCTAGCGAATAAATACAAAAAATGAATTAAATACTTCCCTGAACAAGACATCAGAACTGTGCGAAGCACCAACCAACTCCCCCACACCTCCCGAAGAGACTGGAGATAACGGCAGTATCTCCAGCCTCCTGAGCAGTAGGCCCTGGCCTAAACAAGCAAAGACTGTCTGTGGAGAGACCTGTTGCCTTCAGCCACCGGGGCAGAGAAGAGCGCGAGCTCTCTTATCTGTGCCTTTTTACATGTTATGTTATGGAAAGGGACGATATGGAATACTTCCTTAGATTTCTGACCCTGTTGCTAAGGAAGGCCTAAAAAATCCAAAAGCCAACCCACTACATTCTCCACCTCTTATTCCATATAATTTCTTTACGTAACACTTATATCTTGCACGTATCTATACATATATATATAGTCCTTGTTTTATTTCAAAGCTGTTGTCTGTTGTTGAAGATCAGCACCAACAGCAGCTCAGTTTGGATCCTTGGCCCTTTCGTCACAATCACAGTTCTGGTTTTAGGGCTGGTTCACTGGTCTGGGTTGTCTCATCATTGGATAGTGGCATCTGCTTTGTCCAGGTCTTTCTCATCTGGTGTCTGATCTCCTGTAAAACACAACTCATGGCACAGAATTAGTTTTTCCCCAAGGTTAGATTTCATTGAGGCACACACTGGATTTCTCCATCCTTCCTTATAACCCACCAGGTATATCCTGGCCGTTGAGTGAAAGCAATCCCATGAATGGGCTTGTCTTGGCCTCAGGCAGGAGTAACCCAAACAGCCTTACCTACCATACCTCTCAGATGGATTGCTGGAACTTTGTCTCCATCTACAGTGTGGAGGGATTCTGCTTGGGCAGGGCCAACTCAATTGACAGAGCCTCTAGTGTTAACTAGCCAGGTGGCCTTGGCTAAGTGCTTATCCCGGTTTTTGAAAGTTCCCCCACCTAGTGCCTTCAGAGTTGTCTTTACTAGTCCATTACACCTTTCAACTTTCCCAGCAGCGGGTGCATGATATGGAATGTGATATACCCATTCAATACCATGCTCCCGTGCCCAAGTGGCCACTAGACTGTTCTTGAAATGAGTCCCATTGTCTGACTCAATGCGCTCTGGAGTGCCACGTCTCCACAGGATCTGCTTCCACAGGACCCAGAATGGTATTTCGGGCCGTTGCATGTGGTACTGAATATGTCTCTAACCTTCCATTGGTTGCTTCCACCAAGCACATAGCATTTACCTTGGCGGGTCTGTGGCAAGGTGATGTAATCAACCTGCCGTGCCTCTCCGTATTTATACTTATCCCAGCGTCCACCATACCACAGGGGCTTCAGTCTTTTTGCCTGCTTAATAGTGGCACAGGTTTCACAGTCATGGATAAATTGAGGAATGGTATCCATGGTTAAATCCACCCCTCAGTCTCGTGCCCATTTATAGGTGGCGTCTCGGCCCTGATGGCCTGAAGCATCATGGGCCCATCGAGCTACGAACAATTCTCCCTTTTTCTGGCAGTCTAGGTCTGCTTGTGACACCTTGACCTGTGCAGCTCGGTCTGCCTGTCTGTTATTAGCATGTTCTTCATTAGCTCGACTCTTGGGCACATGGGTATCCACATGGTAGACTCTCATATTCAGTTTCTTCGCTCTGGCAGCAATATCTTTCCAGAGATCAGCAGCCCAGATGGGTTTTCCTCTACACCTCCAATTCATCTTTTTCCACCTGTCTAACCATCCCCATAGGGCATTAGCTATCATCCACGAGTCAGTGTAAAGGTAGAACCTTGGCCATCCTTCTCTTTCTGCAATGTCTAGGGCCAATTGGACAGCTTTGAGTTCCACAAACTGACTCGATTCACCTTTACCTTCAGTGGCTTCCGCCACTCATCAGGTGGGACTCCAAACAGCTGCTTTCCACTTCCAGCTCCTCCCTACAATACGGCAGGAACCATCAGTGAAAAGGGCATAGCGCGTCTCTTCATCTGGCAGCTGATTATATGGCAGAGCTTCTTCAGCTCAACTCACTGGCTCTTCTTCTTCTTCTGCCAGACTGAAGTTCCCACCTTCAGGCCAATTAGTTATAATCTCCAAAATTTCAGGGCGATTCGAGTTCCTGATTCAGACACGTTGCGTAATCAAAGCCATCCACTTGCTCCATGTGGCATCGGTAGCGTGATGCATAGAGGGCACCTTCCCTTTGAACATCCAGCTCAACACTGGTAATCGGGGTGCCAGGAAGAGCTGTGCTTCGGTACCAATTACCTCTGAAGCTGCTCCTATGCCTTCGTACGCTGCTAAGATTTACTTCTCCACAGGGGTGTAATTGGCTTCAGAACCTCTGTAGCTTCGGCTCCAGAAACCCAGTGGTCGCCCTCGTGTCTCACCAGGCACCTTTTGCCAGAGGCTCCATGAGGACCTTTGTCTCCAGCTGCAGTGTAGAGCACATTCTTTACATCTGGTCCCGTCCTGACTGGTCCAAGAGCCATGGCATGTGCAATCTCTTGCTTGATCTGCCTGAAAGCTTGTTGTTGTTCAGGACCCCACTGGAAGTTGTTCTTTTTACCGGTCCCAAAGTAAAGAGGGCTCACAATCTGGCTGTACTCTGGGATGTACATCCTCCAGAAGCCTACGGCTCCCAGAAAAGCTGGGGTCTCTTTCTTGTTTGTTGGTGGAGCCATTGCTACAATCTTGTTGATTCCATCTGTTGGTACCTGGTGTCGTCCATTTGCCATTTCACCCCTAGGAACTGGATCTCTCTGGCAGGTTCCTTGAACTTACTCTTCTTGATGGTGAAACCGGCCTTGAGGAGAACCTGGATAATCTTCTGTCCTTTCTCAAAAACTTCTTCTGCTGTGTCCCCCCATACAATGATGTCATCGATGTACTGGATGTGTTCTGGAGCCTTACCCTTCTCTAGCGTGGCCTGAATCAGTCCATGGCAGATGGTTGGACTGTGCTTCCCCCCCTGGGGCAGTCGATTCCAGGTGTATTGAACACCCCTCCAGGTGAAAGCAAACTGTGGCTGCACTCTGCCGCTAAGGGAATGGAGAAGAACGCGTTGGCAATGTCGATGGTGGTGTACCACTTTGCCGTCATCGCCCAGTATGGACCAGTATGGACCAGTATGGGGCTGTGGAGAGAGACGGAGTGTTAGGGACCAGTGCGGACCAGTATAGACCAGTATGGACCAGTATGGACCAGTACAGAGCAGTACGGACCAGTACGGACTACTATGGGCCAGTACAGACCAGTATGGACCAGTATAGACTAGTATGGAGCAGTACAGAGCAGTACAGACCAGTATGGACCAGTATAGACCAGTATGGACCAGTATGGGGGCTGTGGAGAGAGAAGGGGCGTTAGGGACCAGTACGGACTAGTACGGACCAGTACGGACCTGTATGGACTGGTGTGGGGGCTGTGGAGAGAGAGGGGGTGTTAGGGACCAGTATGAACCAGTATGGACCAGTACGGACCAGTACGGACCAGTAGGGATCAGTATGGACCAGTATAGACCAGTATGGACCAGTATGGACTGGTGTGGAGCTGTGGGGAGAGAGAGGGGGGTTAGGGACCAGTATGGACCAGTACGGACCAGTATGGACCAGTACGGACCAGTATAGACTAGTACGGAGCAGTACAGACCAGTATAGACCAGTATAGACCAGTATGGACCGGTACAGGGGCTGTGGGGAGGGATGGGGTGTTAGACACCAGTACGGACCAGTACGGACCAGGATGGACTGGTGTGGGGGCTGTGGGGAGAGAAAGGGGGGTTACGGACCAGTATGGACCAGTACGGACCAGTATGGACCACTGACACCCTCCAGACCAGACTCCAGTCCCTCCCAGGACAGCCCAGTAACCCCTCCCAGGCTCCCAGTTTGGACCAGTTGCCCCCCATTCATTCCCAGTTTGAACCAGTAACCCCTCCCAGTGCTCCCACTATGGACCAGTACAGCCCAGTAACCCCTCCCAGTGCTCCCAGTATGAACCAGTAACACCTCCCAGTGCTCCCAGTATGAACCAATAACTCCTCCCAGGCTCCCAGTTTGAACCAGTAGCCTCTCCCAGTGCTCCCAGTTTGAACCAGTAGCCTCTCCCAGTGCTCCCAGTATGGCCCAGTACAGCCCAGTACA